ATAATAGAAAGTGTGGCAGGCTAAAGATCCAAAAGAAAGCTGCAGGCCTGACATACACACACTCTTCCGTTGGCATAAAAGGAAAAGAAATTGAGGTTTCACTCGACATGACTTTTGGGTATTTTTAGATGCAGCTTTCCTTCTGACTTCCAGCTGATCCATATAGCCTCATATATAATCCAACCCACCACCCAAATTAGTGGAAATTTCACAGACCAGGGTGATCCCTAAGATATTGTGGTGATGGGAATTGCCTTTGGCAAACACAGAAATTTTTGAACTCAGCCAAAGGTTATTCATTTGGAAGCAGAGATGCATACTTGAGAGTGGTATGTCTGCTCTCTTCCTGTGCAAGAGTTGTCTTTCTATTAAGGAGGTCAGCATCCAAGGTCTAAAAACTTGAGCAGTGCAGTTAAGAAGATAAATTCAGCAGGCAATATCTGAAAGTGAGAAAAGCATGCAGCAATACTTCTTCCCATTCCCAAGTGCTTTTTCTGATCGTAATATTTACCATTGATATAATCAAGATAATCTCGACCCATTGGATCATTGTTTCAAAGATATTTCTTTGCCTAAACAAAGAAACAAAATACCCCTGGATGAGCAAAAATGTACTGGGAGTGCAGGGAACTTCCTGCCAGATCCCCAGTTGACTTACCTTAAGGAAAGCTGGCAGGGAGAATTGGAAATGTCAATCACATGACCACAGATGGGCTTGGCAGTCCTGAAGTGGCTATAACCTTGCCAAATTTCAATCTCAGAAGAGTCCTCGATTTTTGGATGCATTCTTTAAAAGTGAGCCCACCTGAGGTTCACGATTCAAACATTGTTGCCATATAATCTCTTTTTGCTCAATTGAAGGTTACATATGATGAAACAGATAAGAGAGATTTAGCAGTATGTAGATTTTAGAAAGTTCAGGTTCTTTATAGACTTTTGTTGTTATTTTTTTCCATATCTTGAAAACTCATGCCTAAATAGCTTGATGGCATTATGACTACAGCTTCTCTGAACCCCATCTATATAATAGAATGTAGTTCAAAGGTTTATGAGGAAACCAACCCCTTCTTAGCCTATTTAACACCTCTGCTAGTTTCATTGTACACAAATCCCCATTACTCCAATAAAAGGTTTGCCATCTAGTGACTTGATGGCAGGGCAAGATAGAAACTTCAAGGACTTTTGTCATTGACTGTTCTCATAGCTCTTATGAGGGGCTTAACAGGTGCTTAACCAAGCATAATTCTCCCTTTGAAAAACATCTGCCTGCGCATAGATGATCTTTTTGAAGATTACCTTGTATCCTGCACAGTTCAGGGTATTCTTTTTAGTGAATTTCCTTTAGGACATTTCAGTGCCTTGGGAACACTTCTATTTTGTGAACCAGGAATTAGAAACCCTTTAAGATTTCTTAAAATAAATTCAGTTTCTTAAGAAATACATTATGTTCACACACATACATAGATATATTTGTAAATTTCAACCTTCAATTTAGTGATAGATAACTCTTTTACTTTATGTTTATGTTGGAGGGACATGTCCAATTATAAAATAACTGCCATAATAGCATGCCAATCACAAATCAAAAAGCCAAATTAGTTGAGTGTGGGAAAATCAGTTCTTAGATGAGAAGAATTGATTAAATGGTGTTGATATATAAGGCTACAGTTTGATACCTTTTAGGATAATCTCTTAGATTTGCAATTGGAAATGTTTTTCTTTTGGTATCTGGCATTCCCAAATTTCACTCTACTCTTTATTTATGGAATATGTTTCCTGCCCTATTTTATTGCTTTATTGTCCCGCTTCTTAGTTTCTAAAGGAAAACAGTGCAGAAAGTGGCCTGAGGTCCATTACTTGTAGTAACATAGATCCAATACCTATGAATATGTATGTTTACTGTACATAATGTGTTGTTTATGCATTAGTCTCTACCATCTTTCTGAGATGTATAAATATGAGGGGGTGGGATTTCTCTCAATATTCTTTGGAGGAAGTCCCACTAAAACGTATTATTTAAGAGTGGCCCCCAGCCTTTTGGGCACCAGGGACCAGTTCTGTGGAGAGAGGTTTTTCTGTGGACCTAAATCAAGGAGCTACCAAGGAGAAAATCACACCACCACCAAGACTGGCATTATATTATAATACAAACAGGGAGCAAATCCCACACTCACTAGCCCTGATAATGTTAACCTAGTTGGTAATGAAATGTCTACAAGCAAACAACCAAGCTCAGAGAACACCAAGGACTCCACAGTTCAACCCTGATCTATAAATATTCTTTTCTATTAATAGAATTATTTGTCCATGTTTATACAAGAATTGGAGCTGCATAATATATTCCATTGGGAATTAAATAACATCCTTATTTTTAATTTTGGACAATTTGTAGTTCTCAATCACTTGATGTTATTTCTTTTTCTAATATTCAGAAATTCTATTTAGTGCCCTCAAGATGGCGGGAAGTGGGTGATTTCCCCCCCCTCCCACCGATGAACAGCTTATTTTATTGCCAAAGTTGGTTATTTGGTGGCTACGCTCCCTGTGTTTTGGAAGTGGAGACTAGGAAATACCCAACATGACCTTCGGACAGCCATGCATTTACAGAGGAGGGGATGTTGAGACTGCAATTCTTGGAGAGGAGCAATCAGAACCTTATCAACTTTTATTTGTGGATGCTGGTTTGCGACTTATCTGTTTCTCATGTCCTTGGAAAGAACTGTGTTTCTCAAATGTCTCTAAAACAGTGGTCCCCAACCTTTTTATCGCCGCGGACCAGTCAGCCTTTGATAATTTTACCGTGGCC